ATTTTGCCCGGGTGGTGGCCAAAGTCTACTCTTATCGATTTTAGGACCATCAAGGGAGCTTCATCTTACGCATCTTGCACACGGGACCTCCGAAATTTTTTATCCCCTATTGGAGAAGGCTAAGAGTTTGGTCTTACTTACCCTAAGATCGGCGGTGTGGCTGAAAGACAGCAGTAAGAAGGAACCGAGGCGTAGCAGTAGAATGGCAGCAGAAAGCGTCAGGAGCCCAGAGAAGGTAGGGCATGGGAGGAGAGGGGAGGGGGGAGGAGGAAGAAAGTGGAAACGAAATCAGACGACAGAACATGATTAGAGAGCAGGAAAGGCGAACGGAGAACATTTTTTACAGAAGCAAAATTTTCCGTCGCTATCAGGTTTCGAACCCCAGACCTATTGAATGAGAGGCGAACACCGTATCTCTCGACCACAAAAGGCGGTTAGTCTGAGCGCAACAACTTTCAGCGCATGTGGAAACGTCATTCGAAAGTGATTTCGGATATTCGCCCGAGCAGCGAATTGTTTTCAAGCAACTTATTTGCTCGCAGTAGAAAACCATTTTTCTAAAATGGTATAACATATTATGAATACTTTGAAAATACTGAAATATAAAAATCGTTGCTCTCACCCCCCCCAAAAAAAAAAAGAAAAAAAGAAAACGTAAAAAAAATCACCAAAAGCTTCACTGGTCTGGTACACTCAATAGGCGCACAAATGAAGGGAAAAACAAGTCTGGGGGCTCTCGTGGCCTAGAGGTTAAGGTGTTGGCCTCTCATTCAAAGGTCCCGGGTTCGAATCCGGGTAGCGACCGAAAATTTTTCTTCTCTAAAATTGTCTCCTTTCACCTCCTTTCCTGCTCTCTAGTAATGTTCTTTTGTCTGCTTTCATTTCCACTTTCTGCCCCCACCAACTCACCTCCTTTGCCCCTTCCTCTGGGCTCCTGACTCTTTCTGCAGCCTTTCTACTGCTACTTCTTGGCTCCTCCTTATTGCTGTCTTTCTGCCACACCCCTGATCTTCTGGTAGGAAAGATCTACACCTAGCCTTCTCGGACAAGGGCGAAAAATCTTCCAGGGCCCGTGTGCAAGTTGCGCACGTTAAAGATCCCTTGGTGGTCTAAAATTGATAAGAGTAGGCTTCGGCCGCCACCCGGGCAAAATTCAAAATTTCCTACCAACTGAAAATATTAGGTATGTCCCGCGCGCACATATTACCTTATGCAGTTGCGAGCGCTGTAAAACACTTTACAAAAAAAAAAAAAAAAGAAACAACAGTCTCGCTCTATGGTCAAGTGCATGCAACCTTTCCTTCCGTACCCTCCATTAATTTCCAGTTCCAGATAGAGTCAAATGGTGCGCTCCGTGGTGAACTGGTATTAGATCAGAGTACACAATCTAGGATGCTATAATACAAGTTCTCCGACTTTTGACACCAGATCAAAAATAACCAAAATTTGACTGTTGCAAATAGCTCATTAAATGAGGGTCGGAAGATACTTAATTAAAAAAAAAAATCGAATTGTAACATGAATGAAGAACGGGGACCATCATTTTGATCCCAAAGACAAATAAATCATCTTCGATATTAATTGAAAACGTTGGTGTCTGTTGTATAGCGGTTAGGTGCTTTGCTGTCGCACTCAAGATACATGAGTTCAATTCCTGAGTGGGGAGAACATTTCTGTCGAGTCTTTCTGATGGGAAGTATCCATCTCAGTCCAGGTTGGCTCAGACAAGTAAGGTCGGAAGCCTGTCTCCAAAAAGATCTAAATTGTGTAGATAGTGGCGTAAAAATACCTACATTATATAACATACAGTAGAAATCTCTATCGTCATCGTCTTTGGGATGGTGAGGGTGTCATCGTTACAGAATAGGCCTACTTAGAAAATGACCATACCGTTACTGGGGACTGTTATTCGGCGTTGGTGTTGAAACTACGGTCTACCTTTATTATGGTTATGTGCACAGATGTATGTGGAAGAGAGGATGTGTCAGAGAGTGTTTGTCTGTGTGTGTGTGTGTGTGTGTGTGTGTGTGTGTGTGTGTGTGTGTGCGCGCGCGCGTGTGAGCGCGTGTGTGTATACGTAGTGAAACACCAAACCAATGAGCCAGGATCTGGACAATAAAGATGTATCATATCTTATCTATTTTACCTCGGCCAAGAAAAGAGGAGTGAAATTGCGAATAAAGAATCCTCCCGTTGCACTACATTTCTCCAGCCCACCGAGTGGTGAAGGCAAGTCAAACAGCAAAGCAGTGTGGCCATGAGATTCTCCCACATCCCACATCCACCGTATCTACCTGATTTAGCACCATCTAGCACCCTCCCAAATCTTTTTTTAAAAAGTTCCCAAAGGTCAGCGTTTCCATTTATGGAAGATGTGGGTATCTGGCGGTACATCTGCAATGGAGGAATTGTTTGATGCTTTATTATACTAAAAGACTTTTGAAGATCAAACAAAGAGGACAGTGGTATGTCAGTTTGCTGGGTGACTATGTAGGGAAGTATCATCATCTTCTTCTTCTTCTTCTTCTATCCCGTGGTTGGGGCAACCGTTGGGGCACCACTGCATTGGAAAACCAGCTCTCACCATCTATTTTTGTGGTCTGCTCTCCTCAGATTGTCACCCATCGTCTTTCCTGTCCACTCTGTAATGTTGTCCTCCCATCTCCTTCTCTGCCCTCCTCTCTTTCTCTTTCGTTTTACGGTTCCTTGCAGTATTGTTTTGGCAAGTCCTGTGGATCTTGTGACATGCCCATACCATTTTAGTTTTCGTCTCTTCACTGTGGTCAGGCAGTAGATCTTCATATTGCCCCACTGCGTAGGTGATTCTCTTTAGTACTTCAGCATTTGAAACGTAAAGTATCACCATGAGAGTCAAATTTCAACTTTCTAGCTTTCTTCCTTAATAGTTGGGTTAATGACTTATTGAACGACTGTCGTATTGATGGTTTCGGTTGCGTGATATAAAACATGTGCAGACACATTAGTGTGCCGCTATAGTCAATGGCCTAGCCAATACATAAGTGATCTAAGATATTATTCGTTGGTTGTTCTTTTTAAGTTGAGAGGTCATTGATCTTTGGTCCCTTTTGATCATTTTAGGAAATCCTAAGACATATAGGCTATTCCCTGAGATTGCAGCTGATCTGATATCAGCGGTAAGTTTAATAAGGGGGATCTTGAGTTCGCCCACGGTCAAAAAACAGGTCATCAGTCGGAGAAGCTGACCTTGAAATCGCCCCCGGTCGGTATCGATATATGGCTAAATGAGGCAGTCGCAAAGAAATCGAGTACTCGCAACTATAGCAACTTGCGCTGCATTCACGCATTGTATGACGTAAGCCTAGTCCAGACATTCTCTCTGCTCCAGACCATAGACTAAGCAGACCCTACCCCTAAAAAAAACCCCAAAAAACCCAACCCCACACACGCACACTTTTTTCTTTAATGAAGTTTGCGTTACTTCTATGATGTCACTGGGCTTTTAAAAAAGAATTTTGTGTGTGTGTGTACCCTTGAATGGAGATTTAGAAGGGTTATATCAACCACTGATGTCTTGTGTATTGTGTACGCCTGCGTTGTGTGAGAGGATAATTCATTAATATCCAACGTAAAATGAAAAGCAGATACCCTCTTTGAAGTCCTATTCCTATCTCCTCATGGAGAGCTGGGATAACTATAACATTGTACTTCAAATAAAGAACACATACACACGCACGCAATGCTCAGAGATATGAATGATTAGTTACCCGTTTCGATGCCCTACTTCTGCCAGTTTAAAAACTGTTCGATTATAAAAGGAGG